GAAAAAAGAAAAACAAAATTAACTTAAGTGTTCCTTCCTTGGCTATGCTATACAAACAGAACAATGACACTTGCCAAACCGCTTAAACAAAAATAAATGCTGTATTCTCAGCAGCTGCCCGTTACAAAAAAAGTCTGAAAATGAAAAGTGCACAGAATTATACAATCAGACAGTGTTCAGAAAGTGCATTTACCTCTATTCTGCACTCTAGATGAAAAAAATGTTTAGGTGCCACTGGTGGTAGCACCGGCCTGAATTTGCTTAGCTGTTTGCAGATTTTTTGCTACAAATACCAGCATTTCAATGTGTTCCTCAGTAAGTCTTGACCTTCTTGGGCTGCAAATGAGCCCAGATGAACTAAACACACGCTCTGAGGCACAACTTGAAGCAGCTATACATAGGTATTTCTTGGCAGCATGGGCAAGATGAGGTAAGGGGCTCTCATGTGTTTTCCACCAATTTAGGGGGTCTTCCTCTGCACTCTGTTCAGGCATGGTTTCATATAATGTCAACTCATTCCTGAGCCAGGATTCTGGATCCTCATCTGTGGATGCTGTTGGCGTATCCTCTCCATGTTGTTTCTTTCTCTCCCCCTGAATGTTTAATAAAAGTCCCTTCAGATCTGTTCTGTATTTCTTCGTAGGCTGGGTTGCAGATGGAAGAGATGTTTCCAAACTTGGGACTCTCCGAGTGTACAGACCTTGTATATTATCCACAATAAGATGCTGTATTACTTCTTCTTTTAATGTAATAAAACTGTCCTTGAAGCGGGGATCAAGAAAGGTGGCTGTGTTCAATACCAGCTGTAGATTCCTGTTCTCATATCTGTGCTTCAGATCATCTCCAATTTTTTGTTGGCTAACAGCTGACATTCTAAGTTTCTGCTTGTGTCCTCGATTGTTAATGTGGAATATATCTTCCAGGTTATGGGTAGGACATAGGATAGAGTGGTATGCTTCTCCCCACTAAGAGCAACAGTAAAAGTGCTCAATGGGCTCAGCACCTCTTTTACAGTCTCAAGAATGGTGATGTCTGAATCTTGTGGCATAAGATACCACTTCTTTCTGTCCTCTGCTAAAACTGCACTGAATGCTTGCTGCTGTTCAGTAAACCTATCCACCATTTCAAAAGTTGAGTCACAGCGTGTTGGCTCATCATGGATGAGTCCGTGTTCTGGCAGCTTCAAGTCTTTTTGTTTTTTCTTTAGCTGCCGGGTCATCTTTGGTGACCACATATACACTGTACCAGAGACTGCACCTTACCTGCACTACCTCAGCCTGGAATATACTATTGCTGCTCTTTTATTAGGTTAGGGTAACGTAATTTCATTTCCCTTGTATGTCTTGTACATATGAAGAAAGTGACAATAAAAGCTGACTTGACTTGACTTGTGAAAGCTGCCACTGTTTTTCTCAACCTGGATAATGCTCCTGACACACTATCAATATCCAGACCCTTTTTTATGGCTAAGTGCAGGTTGTGACCAAAGCATGGGACCCATGTAAAATGCTGCTGAAATGCTTTCTTGTTATTTGAAGCATTATCTGTAGTGATGGCTGCAATTTTAGTTGTGTCCAGCTTCCATGATTCCTGTACTATCTCCTCTAAAGCCTCCCTTAAGCTGTCTCCTGTATGCTCTGAATGTAGCCCAACACATCCCAGACACCAGCTCTGCATGTCCCAGGACTCTGTAATAAATTGCATTGTTACAGCCATGAAAGAGGATGCAGCCCTGCTGGTCCAAAGGTCAGTGGTACAGGAGAAGTACGGGTTCCCCTGAAGCTGCTGCAAGACTGTTTGTTTTGTTGTGTTGTACAGCTCTGGGTTTTCACTGTACATAAAGTGATTCCGGGAGGGAAGAGCATACCTTAGGTTTAGCTGCTTAATAAGTTGTTGGGACCCAGGTTTCTCCACAGTGTAAATAGGAACCTGGTCCATACTCCGCCACAGCTCTGTTTAGTTTCATAGCTTCAGGAGACTTGGCATTATATTGGCGTTGTTGGTCAAACATAGATGGTACAGTCGGCTGTGTCCGATGGTGTTTGGATGCAGGTGTACTTCTGTCTGCCTCATTCTGTTACTTCAAGAGAGAAAATGACACTTTTCAGTCACCAACATTTTTGTATACGTATTAACTCTATGCTTATGTATACTGACACTATGTCTATTAACGTAATATGGGCATACTACGCGTCTGATTTATTTAAGTTGTTTATGATCATTAACGTAAATTGCTAGCTGCGGCTAATAATAACGCGCTCACATTAATGCGTGCCACCGGCCACGATAACATCAGTAATAGGTAAGTTTGAAATGAAAGACACTAACCTGTCGAAATTCAGTGTAAAGACCAGGGTGTCGGTCCTTCAGATGTTTCCCCAAGTTTGTCGTACTGCTGGACTTGGTCGCCACCGACTTGAAACAGTGTTTGCAGACTGGCCTATTAACATTTTTCGGTTTCCCTTCCATATCAGACTCGAAGACAAAATACCTCCAAACAGCACTCTTGCCTCTATCATTTTCTACCAAAACTGGTTGTTTTGGCCCTCCTGCAGCAGCACTGGCCATGCTCTCTTCTGTTATTGTGCGTCATGGCGACTGTAGGACGCCTCGGTTGGCTGTCCAACTCCGCCCACATCAAAGTCGGCCATTTTGATTAGGTCACCAATAGGAAAATCCCATATCTTCTGACCTACGGCATGTGGGAGGAGTTGGATATCCAACCAATGCGTCCTACAGACTGAAGCGAGAAGCTACTGGCTGCTGTGCGTATGTGAGGGCAGAGAGAGAAGGCAGGTCAGCGTTGCGCGTGCGGCGGTGGTAGTATCGATACTTTTTAAATTGAGTATCGTATCCATGTACAACATTTTAGTATCAATAGTTTTTGGAGTGTCAATATTTTTGACAACCCTATGACTAATATTGTTAAAGCTAACATCAGCCAGCACTGTTGATTCTGAGGCCCTGGGCACATTTGATTGATATAGCAACTCTATGGCTGAAGTCTGATTGGACAAAAAAATATAGCAACCACATAAATGTAATGGAAGCAGCACAGCCAAGAGAAAGGCTATAAAATTCAAAGAAAGGATTGTTTGGAATAAATTGATACAGTTGGATATAGGAAAATCAAAGTTTAGGTTATGAATTTAGGTAACTGTTTCTGATTGATTTTAGGCCAGCAGTAAAGGGCTTAAATGCCCTGACGGCCCACCACTGCTCACGGTGCTGGGCTGCATTATGCCGGTTACATATGACTAATGTCTTATCTGAAGTTAGGAAACTGAGTTTGGAAGCATTTTCTAATATTAAATTTTATTTAACATCCTCAGATGAGACAGAGAGTATATAAAAGCTCTGACTTAACCATCCTAAGCACATACCTGACAGGCCAAAGCCCTCTCTCTCCCATGAAACTAAACACACCCCCTGGATAAAAAAGCTTTCTCACACACTTGAGCAACAGAAGGAAAACAACTCAATTCATCAAAGACATAAATTTAGCCAGATAAATATTTCATCAGAAGGAGGATGTGAGAACCTTGAACACCGTAAGGACATGTTTATCGTTGTCTAGAGTAGAAAGAGTTTAGGGTTATCACTCCTGCTTCAATTTCCTACATTCCAGCAGAGACTGGAACAAGGCTTCTAAATAATCACCCCTATTTAGGCAGAGAAAAGACACACTTTAAAAATTGTGTCTCACAAACAGGCTAAGGAAAAATATACTTTTACAACTTATTTAACCAGACTAAATGCACTCAGGTAGCAAAAAATAAAAAATAAAAGTTCTTGAGAAAATAATCACATCGTAAGAAAGTAAAATGGAGAAGATGCATGGCTTTGGTAATATTTTGTTATGAATATTTACTTCCGACCTTTTGTGAAATTTGAGAAGAAAAAATAGTGCAGGAACTTGCACTCGATTGCACTTGTAGGGCATTTTTTGCCATTGGAATAGAGAAAAAGAAGACAAACAACCATTCACTCACAAGGAGAATTTAGAGAAGGCAATTAACAATCATGTTAGGTTAATCGGAGTATGGGAGGGAGCCGGTGCACCCGGAGAGAACCTACGCATGTTAAGGGAGAACACACAAACTTAATGCAGAGAGACCCTGGGCCGGGAATCGAACCCGGAATTTTGGGTTCTGCTGCAAGGCGGCAGTGCTTCCCACTGCGCCACTGAGCAGCCTTGCAGGGAAGATGTATAATATAAATAAGGATCTTGATGTTAGCATTAAAGAGATGAATGTAGGTGTGCTTGGTTGTAAAAAAAAACAGTGAACAGAACGATGCAAGGTTTTATTTTTTGTATGCTGGTTTGGAAGTTGTAAAAGTCAAAATATGAAAGTGTGTTTTATAGTCTATTCTGTTCAAGAAATGCTTGGTGCTGGGATTTCTTGTAAAACACCAAGAACGAGAGACAATTGCAAGACTTCCAACAAGCGTAGCAAGCACAAGCAAACTGAGGCAAAGATCACTCTCTTATATTGTGTCTCAAAAACGAGTATAACTCAACTAATCTAGGCTACTATGTATAAAGAGGAAGGAAAAACAAGGTTGAAAACCACAATTAAGGTGATGATGCAGTGATATCACAGTTTAGCATCAATTTTGTACTTGAGAATCAAAGTTTAATTTGAAGAATTTGAATGTCTTTAAACCAATTTACAAAGCCAATCCAAGGGGTGTGTCAAGAAACGGGGTACAGTGACCCAGTATTTAAGTGAGACAGACAGTGAGAAGTTTCAAATCATTTAATATAAACAGACAGAAACAAAACAGAAACGGAACACAGAGCTGTAGATCTGCGGACCAGCAGCGGCTGTGGGGGAAGGCAGAGCATCACCCATTACTGACACTCTGGATTGGGAGAAACACAGGTGACCATGATAATCTGACAGAAGAGGATTATCTGTGTGAGTCACTTACCCGATTTAACACTTCAGTTCTTCCTCTTGGGTGACGCAAGATCGAGCAGGTGCACTGCCAATGAGATGGGGTGGAAGCCGTCCAGAGTGTCACTTATGCAGCAGCCCCAGGCAGCGGGCAGGAGTCTGAACCAGATCAGGGAAAAGAGAGCAGAACAGGACAGTTCTGAGATCCAGGAGTCCGTAACCAGGAGTTCCGATATGAACAGGAACAGACAGATCCAGGGTTCCAGGAATCAACGAAGCATTCAGGCAGGTTCAGAGTTCCATGAGTCCAGCAACGACCTCAGACAGACACGCTCAGATGGAGACAGGTGAGTGCAGGGGTTTAGAGGAAACAGAGACAAGACATGGTACCAGGAGAACTGGAGAACTATAAACTGGCTCCAAAATTGACACTTAAAACTGGCTCCACCCGGATGCCGAGCGAAAACCAAGCAGGCTCCGTGGAGAAGAGAAGGGACACGATCAGAAGATGGGAGACAAACACTAAAACCCTCTCAATCCACTGGCCTCCAAGGACAGGAACATGAACCATGGAATAACTCGAACCAATTAAACAAAAATACATCAAATAAACATAAATAATAATCTGGGCTGGGCTGGGCTGAACCGTGTATAAATCAGAAGGAGCAGGTGGATAAGATGAATAATAACTAGAGAGCAGGGAGGGTGAGGTTGGGTGTAGCTGAATAAAACATTATTGGGATATTACCCATGCTTATCATGTAATTTTCATTGATTCAAATGGTCTTCAGAATCAGTGTAGCTCTTGTTTATAAACATCCGGCTTGTCAAAGAAATAGATCAGAACACTCTCAGCATAACATCCTTAGTTCAGCTCGCCTACAATAATCTTTGCAGTGAATATTCAGTGAATATTGAGATGTTGCACAGGGAAAAATATGATTTATGTTTTCCTTTCATTTAAATGCTATTTTTGTGCTTTGCATGTTTGGAGGGGAAAATATGATTTATGTTTTTCTTATTTATATTTTCTTCTTGCACTTTGCATGTTTTGATGTTTGTTTATATGACTGTGTTTTCCTTTATTTAGACTTTTGAATTTTTCCTGCATGTTGGGTTGTTTGGTTTTTCTTTTTCCCTTCTGACAATTCATGCGCACTGGACTGAAGTGGTTGTCTGGGGAGGCGGAGTGCATTAATTGCACTGCGTAATTGCTGCGCTCAGGTGTGAGCGGTGGCTGATTAAAGCCGACATAAAAGGAGTCCGAATGAAAGGAGGAAGAGAACTGAATCTGCAGGTGACAGAGACGGACGCGCTGCCGGGGGAGAGGCAGGCGGGATCCGCGCGCCAGGCACATCTCCGGGAGGTGCACAGGCGGCCCAGTAAAGAGTATCAGGGCAGAGGGGGAACCTCTGCCCACGCCTGTAAGTAGTGCTTCCTCTCGCTTTGAGCATAAACGGGAACATATCTTCCGACAGGGTTTTGGCGCGTGGATGCTGGCGTTCTCCCTGCTTCTCTTTTAGCTGGATCGGTCTGGAAAGGGGTGTGGCACGCCAGAGAGTGGAACAGTGCAGGAGCACCGCAGAGTCAGCTGTGGATCAGTCAGAGGGTGCGCTGCAGTCCGATCGTCCACACCAGAAGCAGCATAACAAGCGGAGCCCAACTTCCAGCCTCTGATTTCTGATTTTTTAAGGAAAACTATTGAATTTTAGGTTTTATCATGAAAAGAAAAGGACTGTTTTACCATGCCACTTTTGAGATGGCTTTTTGTATAAATAAAACACTTGAACTTGAGTGTGTCACGGTTTGGGTCTTGGAGTTGCTTGCTCCCCCTTCTGTCAACGACTGAGTGTCGGGCCATATTGGCCACAACTTTATTTTGGTGTTGCTGGTAGGACACAAGTAGGTTGCAACACTCATACCCACACTCATACCCTCCCCGGGGCACCTTGGGTGCCTAAGTACAAAGGGATTGAAGGTGAACTAAAATATGTGGACTGGAAAGAACAAGTGCATGGACTTTTAAATGCTCAAGAATTGACAGAGTCAAGGAAAGTGGACATTTTAATAGGGGCTCTAGCTGGAGAAGCGAAGCAGCAGGTAAATGTTTTAGATGACACTGAGCGAGATCAGGTCTGTAAAATTTTTTATCATTTGGATACATTGTATGGTGATAATACTCCAGTTGCTGTGTTAAGGTCACAATTTTTTGGTTGTATTCAGAAACCTGATGAATCTGTGAAGTCCTTTACTTTAAGGTTGAGAGAACTGTGCTGCAGCTTGCAGCAGCGCAGCCCTGATGATGCACCTACTGACGCAAACTTATTGGACCAGATGCTGCTTGGCCTTCGTGAGGGTCCGCTGTCCCACACACTCTGAGCCTATGTGCGACATAATCCTAGAGAGGACTTTGTTGCTGTTCATCGGGAGGCACTGCAGCTCGAAGAGGAAGATAACGGCTCCCAAAGACTACAGAGTATGTGTTATGCAGTAGGTGAGTCAACACAGAAGCGATCATTGTCTGACTCCAACTGGAAAGAAGATTTAAAAAGGAAATAATGCATGATGTGAAAGAACAAATGAAAGATTTGGCAAAAGAAGTAATTAATGAGATCAGACCTCTTTTACAACAAAGTCAGGGGGATGTTGCTGCTTCAGGGGTGTCAAGATTACCACAAAGACGGCCTGGGTATTCTCGTGGCTGGACCAGAGATGGACAGCCAATATGCAGACAGTGTAAGCGAGCATGCCATATTGCCAGGTTTTGCCAAACACTTGATGGGGAACAACCAGCTTTAAACTAGGTAACCCTGCTGCTGTGGCCAAGGCAGTGGGGATGGGTTGTATAACCAATGATCAAGGGGCCGCAGCACCATTCATTGGTACATGTCCTTTCATAGAGTTATCTATAGGTGGAGTGAGAATGACAGCTTTGCTGGATACTGGCTCTCAAGTGACATTGGTCCAACAAAAAGTCATGGATTCTGACAAACCTTTGGTGTTTCAATTAAAAGCTGCCAATGGCCTCACTATCCCATACTCTGGGTATGCTATCATGGACTTTGAGGTCGAAGGATTTAAAATACCCGACAAAGGCGTTGTGATTGTAAAATATGACTGTTCTACCCACCCACTCATTGTGGGCATGAATGTTATTGCCGATTGCTGGGACATTGTTTTCAAAGGTGGAATGTCAGCCCCGCCTCCACAGAAGTGGAAGCCACACCAGGTCTGGGATGAGGCAAATGACAGATGGCAAATCTGCCAGAGGATTTCTACCGCTAAGAAGGAAGGGGATTCCCTTGGATTTGTTCATCCTGGCTGCCGCTGAGGAATACAGGTACCCCCTAATTGTGAAATAATGATTTGGGGCCGTGCTTCTCAGAAGATGAGGTCCTGGAAGGGTGTGGTGTTGGTGAAGGCAATACCTGGATCTGAACAATGGGGGGTGGCAAGAACAGTTCAGTTAGCCACGTAGCAGAAGAATGTGGAGATGTTATCTTCTGAGATCTACCTTGAAGAATCCGGGTTTGGCTTTGAGAGAGGCACTGTTGGGTCCAGAGACTGTTTGATTCAGCAGAGTTCAGTTTCAGCTTCAGCGTCTTGCATCTAACGTTTGGACAGACCTTGGTTTTCCAGCTCTTAGTCCAGAGCAGCATGGGTATCCAGAGAAGGGTCTTCAGGTTTGGCTCAGAGGGCAGGTTCGACAGGTTAAGCTCATCCAGAGTTTATAGGACAAAAACTGGTTTCCAAACTGGATAAACACTGCGGCCTTAATGCGAGGTCTGAGGACTGCATATATGGTGGAGGATCCTCCTGATGACGAGGTGGGCTTATGGCGAGCCGCTGGCTCATCTAAAAAGGAGCCAAAGCGAACT